GGCTGGAACACCTTACTGGATAACTCTACCTACCGTAATCCTCTATCTCTACCGTTGGACTGCTTTCATGGATTCGCCTTCCTTAGCTAAGCGTTCTACAAGATTCATAGTTCAAAGCTCGGCTATAGCTTTCCAGCATCACCACTACCGTAACCCGTCTGCAAGCGAAGTCAACAAATCACCGACTGAACCCGGTCTCATCGTTAAAAACTCACGACTTTGGGCGCACAAATCAAATTTGGGCGGAGTCAAGCGAAAAAACCGCTTGATTTATTTCAGCTCTCTGTCTACACAAAAACGGGCTACTTTCTGGACTAAAGCGCTATATATCTGAATCAATAATAGATTGCTCTGAATAGCTTTTCAGTCAAGACCGGAAGACTGTAGGTTCAATTCGACAGGTACCCACCAGTGATGGAAGCTTAATCGCTTCCCCCTCCCCTTCTCGCCAGAAAAAAAGAAATTCACTTCACGAAAATTTTTGTGGAATTTCATAAGAACCCGTTCAACGAACAACAATGGAACTTTCATAAACCAAGAATCTCTGCATTGTGCGAAAGCGTGAAAGCACTGGGCTCGTTTATCGCCTGGTCCGTGGACGTAATAATACTAGGAAAAGCAGGACACGTCTTACTTGGGGATCTCCAGCGGGGGGAGGGGGTCGTAGTTTGTCAAGGCAGGAGGGAAGTCATGTTTTGCCGAAGAAGAAAGGGATATCGTATCCGCCTTTGTGAGGAATGTCCTCGTTTGCTGACTTTTCTCAGTTTTTTCGTTTCACGCGTGTTGTTTACTCTGCACTCGACAGTAATTTTTCAGGGAGACAGTGGAGATTCTTGGAGAAAAAGTACTTGCGAAAAGTGGCAGGAAGTTGGCAGAATCTAGGAAGACAGTCGATAGGATGGGGCAGGGGCGGGGGCTGTGCCATAGGAGGGAATTGTGAGGAAGGTTGCATTTCGCTAAATTTTTCTAAAGCGGCTGGACGTGCCCTGGCCGCATTCAATTATCACTGGAACCGGAATTACCTTCAAAAGCATGGCGCATCCTAAAGAAGGAGGTTGAACGCCAAGGAACTGGTCCATTTTAGTATGTCTTACGGTATCAATTGTGGCACACTACCAAAGTACATAGATACGATAGCAGTGTAACCTGCAGTGAACCGTTACTCTATCGGGTGAGAATGGGGGTTGCAACAATCGGAAAGTTCCCCTCAAACTAAAAAACGACCGCCATTTTATTTTAGACAAAACTGAAGTGCCCTGGATTCAACCCAATCTGATGCAGGACGAACCTAAAGACTTCGAAGAAACGGCCAAAAAACTTGATCTACTACAAGTAGTCATGAGTAACGGGTTCGCCTCAGAATTCCGCTATGTCCACCTGTTCGCCGAGGACTCTTTGTGCCGTCACTGAGGCGATATATCAGCGATATACACGTCGTAAAGATAATCGCTATGTGTCCCATCGGGGGTCAGCAATTTGATTTACGTTCCACTACAATAACTAACAACTGTTTGGCCTTTAGTTTATCCTCTTCAAGAGGGGGAAATGCTACACGAGGGAAACGTATAACAATCGCGGAAACAAGTTCTTGAGGATAGAACTTGTTTCTGCGATTTTCACTAGTATGTAACTTTCATTCGATAATATCCTTGATATCCGCTATGTCAACAATTAGTTTATGATTCATCTGAAGGCATCCGGGTCTTCTACCTTCCAAACCAGTTTTTGTAGTGAAACAAAATTGCAATTTTTAAGCTCACAAGGTACCCGCTAACGTTGGTACTCATTAGAGCACTTTTTTGATCCCAAAGAAAATCAAACATTCAGCTTTTCTTCAAAGGACAAGATTGAATTGAAGGCACAAAAAGGCCACTATTGTGTCAGTTCAACACAGAAACTTTTGGGTTAAATAGGTGAAGGGGACGAAGTGCTTGAAACCAATCGATCTTGTTGGAATGCGCCGCCTGAATGACTTTCGTCCAGGATCATTGCTAACAGCTGAACAAGTGTTTTTTGCCTTTGTCTTATTCCAGTGATATTCGGATTTTTCCTAGGGTGGAAAACGTTGACCGGCACTCAGCGCTCATGTAGATCACTTAGTCTAAAAATACCAGAGAGCTAATTCAGAGGTCCGCGTTAAGTGGAAGGTGGACTGGAAAAGCATGGAAAGTTTCATCCAACGGTTCTGCCACTTGAAGAGAAGTACATGGGGAGATGTTAAAAAAGGCGGGCGCACTTTGTTTTCTAGCCGGGCATCAAATCGGTACTTAGACCGGAGCTTACATCAAGTACCACCTTTGAGACTTGGAAAGTGCTGAATCAAAAAGCCCCACTCATCGCCACTTTAAGCTTCCGTTAGGTGTTCGACGGTTCAGCTGGCCAAGTCCTTTACTCTATCTATGCAACCGGAAGAACATTCCGCGCCACGTTACTATACTGGGGGAGGGCGGACGTGTTATAACACGTTGCTCGCCAAAACAACAAGGTTGTATAGAGGCAGGGTTTCAGATCACAGCGAAAGCCTGGGGTCGCAAATATTCGCGACCAGCAGCTAAGATAAGGTTTTACGGTTTACATCAAAATAATTAGTTAGCTATGAATTAGCAAAAGAATCTAGCCCGCCACGCAGCTAGTACCGTGGACAGTAAAAACAAACTTCCATGAAAAAAAAACACACATTGATACGAATGCGCCAGCCATTAAAAGAGGGTGCTTCATGGTGAGTAGTTCGCTGCGGACGGTTGGGCGTGTCAGGCGGGATGAGTTTGGCGCGGTGCCAAACCCGTTCTCCACCAGTTGTTAAAGCGAGCAAGTGATATGACTGTATCATATCGTTCGTATTACTCGTTTTCTACCACTTTTTGTCGCATGCGCGCTTCAACAAGAAGCAGAGAACGGCTTTGACGGCGTGACACACTCATACTGCCTGACACGCACAACCGTACACTCTAGTTCTCTGCGGACGGTTGGGCGTGTCAGGCAGTATGAGTGTGTCACCCCGTCAAAGCCGTTCTCTGCCTTCTTGTTGAAGCGCGCATGCGACAAAAAGTGGTAGAAACGAGTAATACGAACGATATGATACAGTCATATCATTTGCTCGCTTTAACAACTGGTGGGACGGACGCCCAACCATCCGCAGCGAACTACACATTAGAGTATACGCTTCAGGAAGTGATGAATTACGTTGAAGATCCAGCACAAAACATTCATGGTATGTTCTTCAATAGGTAGAGAAAACGCGTCGTCATCCACTGCCGCTGAGCAAAATTAGCTCATGGTTAGCGCTCATTCGGCCAACTCTCAGTATTCAACCATTTCGACAGCACTACAACTACCGGGTCCTCCGCGAAACCCTGATCTTCTTCAAAACCCAAATCGTAATACCAATAATAACAAAAATAGATTGCCTCGAGGTCTTACCACGGAACTACTCTGCCCTGCTCCTCACATCTGAGTACCCACTTGGCACGGACCACTGTCACCATCCCGGCTTTGACTTCAGCTCGAGTCTTGACATGTTTGTCAGTTGTCGCGACCGCCAGACTCATTTCATCTACTGGAAAAATAACTCATAAAAACTACCACAATCAGTACTGCAAGCCGTCTAGCCTAATCTACATGGGGAAGCTTTTACACATAAAGAGCAACTATACGTGACCTGGATTCGCGACGACATTCGCTCCAAACTTCTTCAAGATCTCCATCAGTCGCTTGCGTAGTCGCTCGTCGGTCCCGAACAGAACACATACCGTATGTCCCGCTAGAGGCGATTCAGTACGCACATATTTCGCGTCAATTTCTGGGACGGCACCTGGAATAAAAGCTTGAAAGGCGAGAAGCTCTCAACATTGGTCAAGCCCATTTTGGGGGTGCCACGCATTCCCTTCCCACTCGCAATCTAGAGGCATTCTAAATGCAATTTTGCCTCTTGCGGGGTCAGCCAATGTATCAGTCCGCGTTTTTATCCTTCCAGACAAGTTTGGTACCCACTGACCGACTCAGAAGGGCAATACTAGTTAGGTTCGGACGGAAGTCAATTCGAGATGTGACCCCTGAACCGTGTACTTAATTTTGCCACTACACTGTCTTCAGTTAACGCCTGAACTGCTCTCGAAAAGTTCTTTGAAGTTAAGAAATGCTCGTCACGAAGAAATCCAGTCCTAGAGACCCTACGAAGGGTAAAATGCTGAGAGCTGAACAATTTCTATCAGGGTACTGCATTCGAATGGGCAAAATGGCGATGTCAGTACGACCCATCCAAAACTTTCTCTTCTAGTACGACTCCCGAACAACCTACCCACCACCCTTCCGAATTCGTCCAACCCTCCACCAAAACCTCACCACTTTTTCCCAAAAGGTGGAGGCAAGAGAGGGGGGGGGGCGATGGGATGTTCTCAGCGATGCTGCACTCTGATTCCAATGGGATATTGCGCACTCGATGTCAATGTAGGGCTGAAGAGCACCTTTTCGGAGACTCAACATGAACAGGAAGTTATGGGTAGCACGGGTGAAATTCAATCCATGGGCTATGCAGGTAATATCAGCGCTTTTTGATATTATGCTATCTTTCTCTTGAAAATCTCGAATTGGAATAGTAAGAACCCTTGTTGATAACAAATCGTGACTGGTTAAATTCTACTGGACAGGGATTCATCCATCTTATCAGTATACCACGAAGCTATAGACGCCACGGAACATTTACAGTGAAGCTCAAAACTCTTTAGACCAAACTCACTCGCTTCAGCCAGCATCCGCTTTGTGACCTTTTTCTTTTTCTCCTTTGTAAGATTTTTTGAGAGTTTGCTCATCGATAACGTCTATAATAGAAACACAATACAGCTCAGTATTTCAATGACACTACTAGAATGTTTTATCAGGCCATACTTTCTCAAGTTGCAGCAGTAAATTGCTAACAGATTGGGAAAAGAATCACGAGAGGCCGATGACGCAAGACTTGATGTAACTTTTTAACTAATAGTCCGTTCTTAAAAGCTAAGTCCACGTCAATCGTATCGTAGAAAGTATGGAGGTAGCCCTACCACTGCGCTCTCAATGGCGAGCCCCTCCCTTTATCTCTTCAAAAAGGAAAGACGCACCAATTAGGAAGCACCACGGTAGGCTTGACTTCTCCCATACAATTAGTAGTGTAGAATATGTTATTAAATCCTATCTTCTTACGTGTTTATATGCCCCTCCCCTCTCATACAGTCAATCTGCAGTGATAGGGTACTGTCGCTTGACAGCAGTGAATGGTAATGATGGTTAGCTTTCCCGTACATAGAGCACAGTGAACAAGGTGCTAGGTCCGCGTTGCCCTTTTTGATCGGAAGACGTGCAAGAGAACCGTGAAATGCCGCTTCGTAGCGCGCGGCAATGGGCGCGATGTTTCCTCAATTTGCACCCTTTCGATTGGAGCATCGGATTTCATGTAGAAAGGACATCGTAGAC